GGGGTTCAATGTGACACTCTATCATTCTCATTGCGGGTTGACCCTGACAGGCAGTGCTGAAGCCTGCTTCCCAAAGTATCTTAATTGTGTTGATAATGCGTACAACACCTACAGTGAAATAAAAAAAAAAGAAAAAGGTTTTATTGCCTATCAACACTCCTTGTCACTTGTGAGATGGGTTCTTGGGAGATCATGCCTTGTAGATTGTACTACAAGCCCCAGTGTTTGCATGTTTTGTAAGTGCCGGTTTTCAAAGTACATGTATATATCAAGCTATTTCAGTGCTGTAGCTTTTAGATGAGCAGCCTCTGGGATGTATGTTCTTGTGCTAGACCTGTTGTTTTCCTTTTGCACAAATGAGCTGCTGGCAATTGGGTACTGTTGGTTGAGGTCGATTTTTCTAGAATATTGTTTGTTCTTCCTTTTCTATCTTTCTGTTTTTCTCATCTGGTATGTGGTTGGAACTGAGGAAGCCCTGTTCAGTATAATCTGTATCTTGTATGTTACTCTCTAAAACACCTCTAGAAGTCTAATCATTGGCTCATGACCTATTTCTTAGGCTTAAAAATAGTTCTCCCTCTTCATGGGCAGAGTCATATTAAAGATTTTGTCTTTCAAACCGAATAAATGTCAAGCCAGAGGGAATCATTTTTCTCTGCTTCTTGTGACTGAGAAGATAGCTGTTACTCTGCCAAGCCACTATTAGACCCATCTCAAATTTACTTTTTCCTTAGATTGAATACACAGATTAGATTTCATTTGTCTTCAAAGAAAATGCAAAACAAGATTGGATATCATTTACCGTCAAAGAAAAAGCAAAACGAGAACAAGAATTAGCTCTGACTTACCCACATGCAGCTTGAAAGACAACAGCTTAGTCGTATTTTGTGTGTCTTACTGTTACAAGTACATTCAATAGGCTGTGGATTATCCGCCCCCCCACTCCCACCCTTTTTTCTTTGTCAAAGTATCTTGTACCAAGAATGCAAGGCTTACTTTTTTTTTTTAAATTGGGGAAAAACTCTGCATCAGTAAAAAAAAAAAAAGGACTATGTTAAGTCATTTGATGAAATCCCTTCCTGAACTACAGGTAGTTGGTGCATGCTCTGGTTTATTCTACTCCTACTAATTTGCAGTGTTACCTTGATACTAGTTTCTTCTTGGTAACGTATTGCCGCTGTCATCCCAAATCACCATAAACTGCCTCATCAGTGACAGTTTGCTATGTTGTCCCTCAAATCATTTGGCAAATGGGAAGATTTGTTTGAAGAGTGTATTATTCATGGTAGTTGAACAAGTAAATACCAATTTTGTCATGGATTGCTGCTGTATATGGACATTGGTACTTCACGTGTGTGTGGGTGGGT